CAGGAAGTAGAAGCAATTTGTCTAAAGGACAGTTATTGACTCTTATAAAATACAAAAAACTTCGAAATGCTCCCAGACTTATGTAGAAACAATTTAAAATGTTAAAATTTGAAATTAGCAGTAATGAACCTAAAAAAATCGTGGGATGTGGTTGAAATAACAGACAGAGAAATATCACTGGAAAATACGGAAACGTAAGGAATCAGCACATATGCTAGACCACAAAAATCTCAAAAGCCGGCCAAGCATAGAAATGAATAAAATATGGGAATCAGTAAGGAGGGCTACAGAAAAGCAATAATAACAAAAAAAATGTAAATGCTCTGGTAAAAACATGATACTGAGACGTTAATTTTATAAGTTCCCAAAATTCATACTCTACAATTCTCAAGGGCACATGGCCCAGTGGATAAAAGCGTTGTTTGATTAAGTGACTTGAACCAAGTATTTGTGAGTTCAGTATCTGGCTACTGCAGTGAATAAAAACTTTGGGAGTTGAGTTAAAGGGTGATAACTGAGACTGAGTAAGAGGCATAGCACGTGGAAATAGAAGAATCTGCCTCTGATCTACTACGAACGGAACAATCTAAAGGGTTCAGTTCGAAATTTAAAGACGTGTGCAGCGGTCGAAAAGTTATAAATCTGATAACAAAGATCAATTGCATATATTTTCATATTATTTTGGAAATACATATAAATTTAAAACTTTAATGATAACTATTTTGGATAATCACCGTCCTACGTCATGTTTGTTTTCATTTTCTACTTCATGGTGTTTCATTTAATATTAATGTTTGTACGTTTTATGCCATGAAGAAATGAAGACAACACTAGCGAGGCAAACGAGCATCAGTTCGTCACCGTGCCTGTTCTACATTTTATAACGATATAGTAAGGCCTATGTCATCCGTTGTAAAGTAGGTACATTATAACAATATGTACTATTATTTGTTTCTATAGTTCTATTTTATATACTATTGTTTATCCAACATGAGGCCCAAGGAGAACCCGATTTCGAAGGTTACTGAACGACCCTGTACGACGTAAGAGGAGGGGGGAAATAAGAAGTGCACATTGTGAAGATATGTAATAAATATTACGAATGACCTTAGATTTTAAGAAGTTAAAATTGTAGAATTTGGGGAAGCATCCTTTTAGAAGTCTGCTTCGCAATATAACAGTTCTTGGGAAGAAGATGCCTGAGAGGATCTAACCTGATACTAATCGAATACATAGAAAAGAAGGATGATACTATTCTGCGTGGGTGGCATAGCAGGGACTAGCTGTGGATATCTGGGCTGGTGGAATTAATCAATGTAGCTCATCTGAAAATCTGCCATGAGCATCCCGACGATAGCAGAGCGAGAACCTATTAAACGTTTAGGCGGTGAAAAGTGGTTATGGCGCGGAGAATCATTAATCATCTACGAGAACAAAACACTTTTGGACATTGTCAAGACTGGAAAACGGGCGTTGGCCATCTTTTGTCCGTATATGGCAGTAATACTCCATATATGGTCTGATCTGGTTTACGTAAAATTAAAGTATGCCAGGAAGAGTCATGTACATCCCAGAGCGGTATGAAAAATCGACCATTTCACCATTAGCAATGTGTCATATATATAAGAGTTCCACTTCAGGTATGGAGTAAATTGAGTCTCAATAGACGTTCCAAATGACAAGCCTCATCGCGAATCCAAGCTTTGGTCGCTACTGAAATTGTAGGGTCGGTTCGGTGATGATGAAACTTTGCTAGTTTGGTTTGGGAGGTATTGAATGTTATATGCTAGTAGCCATTCCCGCCATTGAGCTCTGAGAGCAAAGAAATGAGCTCTGATGCCAGGCTCTGATCATCCTGCAGCAATGCCTATTTATCACCGTAGTATCGTCTGCACATTTGTCTCATTTCTCCTGCTTCAAGGAGCACAAACATTGCGATGGTTCTTTGTCGGCACAGGAATTGCAAAAAGATTATCCTATTTCACGTAGCTGAGAGAGGCACATTACACTGACGGTATGCCCATATTAAGAATCGTGTGTATTGTTTTCCAGAACTTTTAGGAACCAAGATTTTTTATGTCCACTTTGGCTTGGACTGCTTGCTAATAGCTGTTCATAGCGTCTTCAAGGATTCTCCTGCACCGATTGCCGACCGTTACGAATGCGCTTTGCGTTCGATGACATCTTTCCTTCTGATGAATATGTTATCAGTGGTTACATTCACCTATGAGCGCAAAACATTCAGGCGTGAAGCAAAGCTGGTTATTCAGAGTTCGGGATAAATATTTCCCCCGCCCAAAAGAATCAATTCGAAAAGAGAAAGCTGTCCGAAATAATGCTGTTTACAATACACTGTCTAATATCTCAAGCTATCACAATCAATTTTGTTTTATCGTTAGATTGTCTTATAAATTGTAACATCGAGGGATGTATTCAGTATAGCATACATTCTGATTGACATTATCGGCATGCAAGCTACGTCGACAGAATATGATTCAATTAATCTGGTTATTTTTTTTGATATTCCTATCAATGCACGTGTATGCACAGAACCACACAGAAATATTACTGATATTTTAGGAGGAATTCTTTAAATGAAGGAAATTTCACGACCCGTTTTTGAAATATTCACGAAAGATAACTGCACCTTAAGAAATGTTCTTAGTTTAGGCTGTGTTTTTGAATTTAACAATAGTCATCTTTTGTTTGAAACTGACTGATTTAATGTTGTTATATTTGAAAATCAATCGACCCTGTTCTTTTGAACAGAAGAAGAGGTTTATCTCTTGCTTCCTGTTTCCGATTCGGTTTCCAGTTCCTTCAAAAGAAGACCTCAAGTCTGTACTAAATTATCCGCCTAAATTTTAGTTACTATAACTATAGATAGGTTCATTTAGCGTCCGGTCTTTTGAACAGGAGTAGAAGTTTATTCCTTGATTCCTGTTTACGATCGGGTTATTGGTTCCTCTAAATCATTTTTCATTCACTTTCACTGCCATTAGTGGCAATTCTCGCCTTGCTTGGGGTGAATTGATTCAAAAAAAATGCAACAATTTTGATGAAGTTCATTGACATGGAAAATAGGTCACACCTAATTTGAGAGAAGTTAATATTGAATGAAATATGCCTACCTATATTCCCCTTTCCTCTCGAGAACGTATTCCCAACTTCCGAGGAGATTTGGGATTGCCAATGGAAATTAAACATCTAATAAGAAAATTAACTGCTGGAAAATTTAAATTTTAAACAAGTCAATTATAATTATTAAAATCCAAAGAAAGAACTATGAATTATATTTCTGAATGCACTGCAAATTATTTAGCGAAAAAAATGATATTGACTTTATGTAGAAAGATATTGCCACTTATTAATACAAAGGTACAGCGAAAATCGATTTCTTTAACTATATATATATATAGGTTTTTGTTTTGTTTTTAAACAGGATTATTACGGATTTAGTAATGGAACACTAAAAAAAGATTCTAGCAATGATTGGATTCTGTTATCTTCAGTTGCGACCAACAATCAAAGGAAACTGACAATTCAGCGACAACTGGTCACAGACGACGCTCATGATTTTAATATTACGGTAACCATTTTCCTTTTTATTTATTTGGTTTTAGACTTTTAAGATTCTTAAAGTTATTATTTTGAAATAACTTACGTGTGTTTGTAATATTCATTTTCCAAATAAGATGTCGCCTATTTGATTAATATTTCGTTAATTCATTTTGTTTAATTTTAAAAATAAATTAAAAAGATAGAAATATAAGAAAATAAATTCGCAACACACAGTCTTGGCTTTTCTTTCTGTATGTCGGTATTTATTCGACATCATAATAACTGAAATGGAATATAAATAAAATTCTTTTGTCGGATGTTCCATCTATTTAATATTAGGTAAACTTCAAGAATGAAATAACAGCGATGAAATTACTAAATTTTCTTCCTGGTTGAACTCAAATGCATACCCCTACTCCATGTTCACTTTATTTCCGAAGCCATTTTTCAAGATTCTTCACAACTTGTATCAATAATAGAATTTCTGGGTCGAGGGATGACATAAGAATTACAAAGCATTATTTTATTGAAAACAAAAAAAAAACAAAAACAATAACAAAACATAATCATATAAAAAAATATATGAAAAAGAAATTCACCCCCTTTAAATCTTTCATGATTCAGGCTTACTGTCTTCACTTCTTAACTTCGCCCGATCGATGTTTTATATTTTGGTATATCTTTTTGTGAGGAACAAGAAGACTTACCTTCCGCAAAGTGAATTTGCATGGCGTGTCAGTGCGACCGGCGTTAAAAGCGAAAATGAATTATTTCGAAACTCTTATATCGCAGGCAGGCGTACAAGGAAAAATAAAATTATAAAAGACTAAAAATTGAAGCCAGCGTAACGAGAAGTAAGTATCGTATGCAAATTTTAGTTTCCCCCGACGCGGGCATAAATAGAGAGTTTATGAGGAAGACGGAACAGAAAAAAAACACGGTGTTGGTGTGACGGCGTACATATGTACTAACGAGAGAATAAAGAAGAGGTCAAGAGCCACAGCGAAGTTGGTAGAGCGGAGAACTGCTAAGAAACTTTAATACATTTTAGTCAGCAAACGACGCAAACGATTACCCACACTTTTAGATATATATATATATATATATATATATATATATATATATATATATATACACACACGTTTTCCCACTTCTTTAAACTTTGTTCTTTCTCCCAGGCCGCATCCCAGATCCGATTTTTCAATTTTCGTCATTGTCTCATGCCGGAGCCCGATTTTTTTTATTTGGGACTCAAACTTTATAAACAAAACCGATTAACTCACAGGTGATACGGATTTTGGGGGTTTTAAGTTGAATGTCTCGCCTGCACTACGCGGCCCGGTACATCTAAGATTTTCACCTCATTTTGGACTCTGTGAAGTTGACTTCGCGTTGTTAAACACTTTTGAGTTCTTTTATTTGAACTTAAAATCGGATCAATGTATGGTTTCAAAAGTACCGGGTTAACAATACAAGAACAGCAACAACCCTGCCCAAGTAGTATGACCAGTCTCAATATTTCAAGAAACTGGGTTCGGTGTGAAAAGGTATTTGTTGTTAACATTGTTTTTTCATTCGGTTTTTCCAGTTACGTGTCCTTTTCTAAAGCTGGTCGTTTTGTATTCATTTTGTTTAGTTCTTTTTTCGTGACAGATTTAATGTTTAGTACAGAGTTTAGAAAAATTTCGCAGTGTGAAATAGGCAAGAAATAAGGCATGTAGACAGGCAAAGAGGTCGCACCAATTTACAGTTGAGCTGGCTAGATGTAACCGTAACTTCTATGCTAACAGTCTCTGCTATCACAATTCTTAGACTGTTAGCATAGAAGTTACGGTTACATCTAGCCAGCTCAACTGTAAATTGGTGCGACCTCTTTGCCTGTCTAGTATTGCGTTTAAATTGAAAATTTCTAGGTACCATAGGGAAGAACTCATCCGAAAAATTACCATGAAAGTATTTATAGAAAAGGAACAGGGAGGCAACTTTACGGCGGTGGGAAAATGCCTGAAGCCGAGATGCCAGATCAGAGCCAACAATATTGCAGATACTTGGATTTCATCAAGTATCATTTGATATATAGCATGAACTTCGGACCATGTTTGGCAGCAATATTTTAAGCATGATACATTTATAGAATTGCAAGAGAAAATTGTCTAGCAGGACACTGTGAACCAATATACTTAGCAGCTGTCTAATGGATTCAGTAAAATTTCTCCATTTCATGTTAGCCGCGAACGTTAGCACGAGAAGCAAAGTCCCTGGAGGTTAGCATCAGTCATGGTGATGGAAGGCAGATTTGGGTTTTCTCAGCTGATTAATGGAGTGCAATTTAGTTTTGGGGTCTTTAAGATTAAGAAGCCATCCTTTACCCTAATTAATAACAAACTGAATGTATTTTTAAACATCAGCCACCAATTTGAAAGTAAATGGGTGTGTCATCAGTGTAGATGTCAAATTGAGTGCTGATTCCATCTTGAAGGTAGTAAATAATAATTAAAGACACATTAGGCTCAAGGATAGACCCCGGGGTGGGGGGATACATGCATTAGGACGACATGATTAAGAAGTATGTTCGTTTAAAACATTAACTTCACGTCTTGATTAGAATGAGTGGGTCAGTTTAAAAAATGTGTCCAGAGACAACGTAACATTTCAATTTGTTGAGAAGACGTGTAGGTCAAACTTTATCGATAGCTTTCGAGATGTACAAAAAATACCTGGCTTCATATATATATATATATATATATATATATATATATATATATATATATATATAATAAACACACACATTACATATGACGAACAGATAGAAACTCTTTGATTATGCAATGATGAGTCTAATTTATCGATTTTAAACACTTTTCACGTTTATGAAAGTGATAATGATTGAGGTATGAGATATAAATTGAACTTTCTTACTAATTCCCCGGAAGCTTTCTAGGATTTTTATTAACTAAAATTGCAAAACAATCAATATTAGCAGAATTTCTTCGTCCATATTAGTCGATAGGAAATATTTCCATTCTATAGAATGAATGTCTATTACCGGTTACACTGCTGAAGAGCACATTAGAATTCATGCAATAGACGGTTTCTTATATTGTTTTCATCTAAACTCTTTTTAAAATGTAAAATCAAGCACTAAATTTTACCTACTCCGATCTGCAAAGAAATAAAAAAAAAACGAATCGTAAAACTTAATTTCTTTGCCATAAGTCTTGACAAAATAAAAGACCCTTAACGTGATCATGTCAAAATTCGATTTGACTTTCTTTCCAACCTATAAGAAAACCGAATTTTATTAACATTCCTACATCACAAACTGATCAACGTCTCTCATCTACATTAAAAATTGTAACTAAAAGCAAATATCACATTTTGGGATACATCCCATTTCTAGGAAATCGATTAATTTGATTTCCCTAACCTTATCAATAAATAAATTTTAGCTATCTCCGTGGACAAATATATTAGACATATTAAAACCAAAAATTATCTTCCATTGGCCCAGCATATCAAGTGTCTTATTCACAAAAGAATGCTGCATTCACATTAAGCTTTCCCGCCCACACCACTTCAAAGTTTGTCGCAACTTAATGTTCTATAGTTTCTACACTGAAGATTACATGTTGAAAATAATTTTTAATAAACTGGTAACCAACCAATCATAGTCAATTTCTTAGGTGATACATATTTATACGAGTTCCCTGCCATTCTACAACATTTGCAAGTTCTACAAGAGGATTATTCTGAGATGGACTAAGGTGACATTGCCCTAGGTAGGCCATTTTCCGTTAATACTAAATGGCTTAAAACTTTTTGAACAGAAATCATATATTCATTTGTTTATTGTTTCTTCACTACAGTGCGACACGGTACGTGTGATTTGGGCGTACGGCGAGAAAGAGTTCAACTCTAAGAACTTTACAGTCGGAGGATATAAAAGTTTACGTTTGTTGCAAATTGCGAGGCCAGACTTTGTCCATCCAGCTGACGCCCGGAAATTAATAATTGCTATGAATGAAGTAAGTGATTTAATATATATATATATATATATATACATCTTGCTCTGTTTGTCTGTCTCTCTCTAATATGACAAATCTTTTCTCAAGTTTTAGTTAATATTTCCATTGAGTTATTTTACGATATGTACGTACGTATTTCTCAACCAAGACAAATTTATTTTCTATTTAAAGACTTTTTAACTCAAATTAACGTTATTATTATTATTATTATTATTATTATTATTATTATTATCCAGGTGGAAGCATATATCCCATAATGGAACAAGAATTCGTAAATACATCTGACATAATATGACTGTTCTAGATTGATCGATATTCGGAGGATGTAAGATGTTTGTGGGCTTGTCATGGCTAAACTAAACTTACAATATTTGGAGGTTACTCGCTGCGAACTATTTGATAAGCTAGTAATAAACTTGTAGTATCATTTACCGCACTTTGAGGCCAACACAGAAATGAACAAATCATTACCTGATAATAGTTACAATTTGGAGGAATGATGTAATTGGTTAATTCGATTTTGTCAGATAGAGAGAAGCCATCAACCGATTTCTTTAGAGGAACCCTACTAAAGATTGAAATAACTCTTATACTGTGGTTCCTAAAATGTTCAATAATCTTTTATCGTACAAATAAATTTTAATGTAATACGAATGGAACTGAAGAGTTCTCGGTACAGACAAATCCCCTTACATATTAAAATCCCCATGTTTGCGTATTTGGATAGATTTTGAAGATTTGCTCAGTCTAACTTTCTGGGAAGAGGTGTTCTCATTATATACACTATGGACACTCTACCTGACCCAGTGACTAAACTCACAATTACTCTCATCAAATACATGAAACAACACTTTAATCGACTGGATTAAAATTCTCTGTGGTGAACATGGAGCCTTAAACCTAAACTGCTTGTTGATTAGTGCAGCTACATCTGCCTGTCATGATTGACTGCTTTTGAAGACGTGTCTTCTTTCATTATTAGCGGCCCTCATGTTGTATTTATTTCAATGCTAGATATACTAAGGAAATACTAATAGCCTAGCATATGCACCGTTTCTTTCAGACATCTCACTTTCTCCCTTCTCTTGCATGATTCCTTCATTCCATAGGGCGTATGATTACCCCAACCGGGGAGAGTGTATTTGGACATAATGGAAAAAGGCGAGTAATAACAACTGAGCAGTAGTAAAATAAGAACTAGACTGAATATCTATAGGCATGGGCAGTTCACTTCCGTAGATTAAAGAAATGATTCAATTTCAAATTGTCTGTGGGTTTTCTGGTTCAATATACACCCGAGGAAGGTCAGATGGCGCAACCAACGAAATTTTGTGATACTAACAATAAAAATGTGGACAATAGTCCGAAGGTAAATAATATTATGAGGGGTTGGTAGAACAGAAAATACATGAGTACTGAGAAGATGTTCCAGTTATTCAATTTTATTTTTGTTATTGTTCTTAAGAATTCTGAGCGTTAATTAAGAAAATAAGCATGCATATCACGATATCTTTATCATGTTAAAAGTTATTTTTAGTGGATATTCATATTTGAGTAGACGTAATGTTTATTTATTAAATAATCAACTTAGAAAAAATCCCGTTATATATATATATATATATATATATATATATATATATATATATTTATGTCACATTTAAAAAAAGTGCACGATATCAGGGATAGAGCGTATTTAAGTATAAAAGTCGACTTTGAGTTCAATACAGTCTGTTTCATGCTTGAACATAATTATGAAGATTGCAGCTATATATATATATATATATATATATAATATATAAAAACAGTCAAATTCAAAATTACCTCATATAGGGAATATATGTCAGTCTGTTCGTCTTATTCAACCCCTGTATATAGTCTGAGTTCATGCCGGAATTGGAAATTATATATATATATATATATATATATATATATATATATATAAAACAGGATAGTTCTTACATCTTTACTTCTCTCTTTTTTCTCACTATATCGTTTCCTGTGAAATGACCTATTAAATAGGTCAATGGCTGGTTCTTACCCGCTTCCTCACTCTTAAGTATTGTAATAAAAATACATTTAAAATCATTCCTACCTCTTCCTTCCCTCTCTAATTTTGACAATGTCTATCATACTCTCTCTCACCACTTTACATATAACCTTGCATCAACTTAATACTACCCCTCAAAAGTGTATAAAAATATAATTTAAATTCATTTTTTACCCTTGAAAGCTTTGTCTAATGAGCCAGAGAAAAAGAAATTCCCTGAGGAAATAAATTATAACCAATGGACCCTTAAATTTGTCTGTCTTACTTGTGTGTGTTTTATAATTGTGGTTTGTGTTTGCTTGCGTATATCTTGCTTTATTTCTGGCTGATTTTCAAGTAACTTTACCTATTACTACAGTCGTTATCATGAATTAAATGTTATTTGCAATGATGAAAGTAATTTTTTTCTTATTTCTATGTTATTTTTCATGTTTCTCAAAATAATTTATTGTAGTAGTAAAAACAATTTTGTTTTTCTTTCCCTTTCATTCACCTTCATTTGGTCCCCCTTTCATTCCTTGATCAAGATGCTTTGCATGTAGTGGGTCAAGGTATAGGTTTCAGTAATTATTTTATTACCTTCGTTCTTTCCCCCAAACTACCAAGAGTGGAAACTTAGAGTGAAAAAAACATATTTTTAATAAAGTGGCTGATCTTTGCATACCGGCTCGGCTGCTGTTAAATGCCCAATATTTAGAAGGCTCAAACGATAAACAAATCTTTTTTTCAGCAGTGATCAAATTAAAACACCTGTGTGTACCCTGGTACCTGGTTATGTAAACAGTAATACTGAAATCTAACAGCGATTACCTTTCGACCGTTGAATTTCTATTGAATTTCTAAATATTTCAATTACTTTGTCTTTACAGACATTAATTCCGAACAAAACCACAACATATTGGTGCAAAGATTTTGAACTTCCAAAATATAATCAGAAAATGCAGATCGTTAAGGTAAGGTTTTTCATATTTAATGAATTCAGAATTATAATATATCATTTCAGAAGTGGCAGAAGTTTCTTCGAAAAATATGAAACCCTATTTTTGAAATGTTCTATCACTTTTGTTATTTATTAGAAATATATTAAATATACGAGCGATATCATTGCTCATAACTATTTTTATAAATGGGGATCTAATTGTAAAATGGGGTTGATTTTCTGTAAGTCTCATTCTACGTACAATCTCTTAATATCTATTATTTTGTACACGGCTGTGATGTTTCAATTCTCTGGTGTGGCATCTATTTATACACGCCGAGAATAAAAAAGGAAACTAAGGCATGCCCACCTGGGGAAATACACAATATTTAACTTGTAATCTATAGGATATTTTTATCGAATAATTTTTTGTCAGTTAATTAGATCATATACATTTATTTAGCATTGTTAGCCCAAAATTTGCCACGTGTCTACATGCAACATTGCATCCTTTGCATATGTCTCTGTTGCATTTACACACTTGTGTAATTAAATCGTGTCAACTGAGAATGATAACAATATCAGACTGGGAAAAGCCGGATGCACTTAAATAAATGAACAAATCCTGCAAATCAAATCAAATCAAATTGAAGAGCAACATTTTCAGGGCTATAGTATAGCCATTCCTTGAATATGGCTCCTTTACCTGGACACTAACAGCCAAAATGGAAAAAGAGGTTAGATGTTGTTTACACACGAATGCTTCGAGAAACACTAAACAAATCCTGGAAAGATCATCCAACAAAGAAATATCTCTATGGCAACATAACTTCTACCAGGAAATTAATACCCCAAATAAGATTTGCTGGTCACTGTTGGCGTAGCAAAGGAGAACAAGCTGGAGACGTTTTACTCTAGATACCATCCCATGGATGAAGAACACAAGTTTGATCAAAGAAGATGTGCATTGAACATCTGATTGAAGACAGGAGTATCAGAATCGATTAACTTCCAAATCAATTAATGACAGGAATGGATGGAAGCAGCGTGTCATGGAATGCCGAACTTACACAACATGATGATGATGATGATGACGAGAAGGAGGAGGATTTACACAACTATTGTCAAATATAAACCATGGAAATACTAATTAAAATGTCTATACTTTATCACTAATGCTGACTTGTTGATAGCCTAACAGTTAAGAGTTTATAGAATCAGTAAACTGAATTCAAGTTCATTTCGTTCATTTACGACTAAAGCTGTTCAATCTCAGATATCTTAGTAAGGTAATCAGTCTGAAAATACAGCACTGAATTCACAAACCGCGGTGATGGAACAGCGACTCCACACACAGAACAGTCATTGCAATTCACAATTTGCATATATTTCTTCGGTCGAATTAAAGTATATCAGGCTAACCATCATGTTCTTGCAGCATGGTCGGAAGGTCATTAGGGATCATCCTGAAGGGATATAGTTTTGAAAAATTGACTGCAAATAATTTCAATGAAAATTCAGTATAATGAAGTAGAACCCCCTCCCCAAAAAAATGTCCATCAAATTTATTCTGAGCCTAATGTTGGTATTTCTCTTTCACATAAAATATTGCGATTTATGTTTCACTATAAAATGAATGAAATTACGATTTACATTTATCTATATTTATATCTATTTCCGTCGTTATCAAATAATTTTTTCTTTTAAAAGAAATATTTTAATTTCTTTCTAAGATGACTAAGTGATTGAGAAACAAATAGACTTTTATATGAGCAATCACATTTTATATATGCTGTATAAGCGAAATACATTATCAAATGCATAAGGTATATTAAAGAAATCCATCCAAAGCTTACTTCTCTCGGGTTGTCGGAGTTAGCTCCTCCTCAGTTCCTTAATCCCTCACCAGGGGTCTTTCTCCCCTGGCAATAAATACTGGGTGACCCTTTGCCTCGATCTCTTTTTTTTCCTTCAGGCCTTGGGCTTTAAGCCACCTCGCATATGTGAGCTCTCACAGATACAGCGTTTCCCAAATTCTGAGAACACGTTAAGGACAATACACGTAGGTACGAACCCTCACCACAATACACACACATAATATTCACCACACGCACTCAATATGCTTGTAACTTGTACTTGTTCTTAATACAATATATTTGTTTGCATATAATTATCGGTCTTGTTTGTTTTCTTTGGACTTAAAGTCCAACATTCTCATGTATCTGGGCCGGCTAGCAGGAAATTTTAACCCACGTGTGTTCTTCACATCCTCTTCACCGCAACAAACCTCGCTACATAATGGTGACTTCCCGACGTGATTATATTTTCAACTCCTGTTAACACACACAAGACTCTGACTTCAGCACTTTAACATTTTCGACTTCGTTTAATCAATTTCTAAAACAACAATGCAAAAAGAAATTATTAGTAAACAAAATTTACTTTAAATTTTGAATGATTTTGCTATGGGAATGCATCTTAACTGATTTTAGGAGATAAATAGTAATAAATATGAGAAAGAAAACGATTATAAGTTTTTATAAGTAAGAACAAGAACATGAATAATCTAATATAGAGATGCGACAAAAAAAGTCTGCAGGTAATTTTCGCATTTATTTCAAATAAAATTGTGATTTCACTGGAGGTGAAATTTTGAAATTTTTTGTGTCCATGCTGTATATAACTCGAAAGAAGAAAACATATAATAAAGATTCTTTCTATTTTTCTCAGATATCACCAATCGTGACGAAAGGCAACGAACTTATAGTGCACCACATGCTTCTTTATAGCTGTAAAAAGAAGAAATTGAAAAGGACAATAGAAGAAGTTCGTTTATGCTACGATGAAAACATGCCTGAGATTTGGGAAAAATGTCCGATGGTAGTGTTCGGCTGGGCGATCGGCGGCTCGGTAAGGGTCTCTTGATATGTGTGTATGATGGCATATATATATATATATATATATATATATATATATATATATATATATATATATATAGTAGCAGGCATAAAGATCAGAACGATGTTAAGAAAGTCTAAATGGGAAATAACTTTTTATTTTAAAACTTCATAGAACATTTTATCAAGGAAAAAATAAAGATATGAAGGTAAATTATATAAATACCACATTAATATTTACTAAAGAAACCTCAAGAAATTTCAAAAAAATATTATAGAAATACAAAAACACACACACTCCTGGTCAAAATAGAAAAAGGTTAAAAATATAAAATACTGTTACTTTAATCGAAATATATTTGTGAAAAAATTACATTTAATTAGAAAATGTACTTTATTAACAAACAAGTGAAGATTTTAAGCTTTCAATTGATTAATTTAAACATTGAGAAGTTTTTTTGTGGGTGTTCATAATGATAAGACCATGTAAATAAAAATAGAAAATACAGAACAAATAAGTCGCAAAGACAATTTAATATCCAGTATATCCTCAATTTTTTGAACTGTTTTGAAAATTCGCTTTGGCATAATCATTATTACTTCTGCATGAAGGTGTTTGGGATGCTCGTCCAGAATGCATAAACTGCAGTACGAAGAGCATCCACAGTTTCAAATATGCCTTCCATGTTTATAAACATCCTTTGCCATCGATCTACAAACATTCTCGATTGGGTTTCGATCTGGAGTTAAGTTATTTTGTGACTAATTTTATCAACATTATTTGTGTCACTTTTACGTATTCTATAAGCTTTTCTCTTATATATGAAATAATGAAGATATTGCAGGGCTATAAAATAATTTTCAATGTATTTTTATCACCACGTAAATACTGATTTCTATAAATTAGAATTGCTCATAAACAAAACTTATAATCATTCCAGATTTTATTTTGTTGTCGTAGTGTGAGGACAAAGTTTATTCATTTATTTTTAGTATTGGATTTTCAATAAATATTTTAGATAATTATCATATTTATTTTCCTGTGGATGGATAAGTGGGTTTAATGTTAATGCTATGATTTTCGTTAGTTTAAAGGGAACACTCCCAATCGCTGAAATGATAACTTACATAGGAACCAAACAATATATTACATTTCCTTAATATCATCGTAAACTCCACTGGTAATGATTTCAAACTAAACTTTTGTCGAAAATTCACCAGCAATCATGACCTTATCAAGAATTATAGCTGAGTGTCCCTGCGTCTTGAACGTCTTCGATGTAAAGCCTGCGTCTCTCACAATCCATTGACCAAACCATTATAAGCCTGAAGAAAATCCTTCTCGGAAAGAAACGCGCTTTTCTCATTTCTTGTTCGATTAAACATACACGCGCGTGCGCGTCTTCAAAGTTTTCAGTAAAATCAGCAGAAACTTATTATGTGTTTCACATACAAAATATGGGATGACGACATATCATTTTATATGGAAAGCTTTTTGATCGGGTCTAGAGTATTTCATTACCCCTTTGATTATTAAAAATAAGACAGAGCAGTATATACATGACCCGGTACCCAATATTTGTAGTGAAATGTTGGAAATATTTTGACATATTTTAAAGCAAATGTTGACTCTGCATATCTAATTCTTATGATGAAAGTTTTATTATCCTATTAATAATAAATCAGAGAAAACCGACATTATAGCTGCGAAGATATATTGGCTAAGAAATATTGGCTAAGAAATAAATAAGAAAACGGATATCTGTCTATATTTCTGATATGAGTTATTATGATTATTTGTATTATTTACATTATTTGGACTGTTATCATCATCTTTATTGCATATTATGAAAATTTAGGCCGTTGTACGCTCCGGCTTTCTTCAAGTGATTGGAATTTCGAGCACATAGCCTAGTGGATAAAGGCGTTGGTTAGATCCAGTGACTTGTCCTAAAGATTTCTGAGTTCAATACTAGGCTACAGCAGTGGTGAACGATAAAAATTGGAGAGTTGAGTTAAAGGGAAATAACTGAGACATCCGGAAGAGGCATGTCATGTGGAACTAGAACAATCTACGGCAATGGACGAAATAAAGGGTTCGGTTCGAAATTCCAATCACTTGAAGAAGGAGCGAACAAAAGGCGAACCGTTGTGAATATGGCAATGAAAGTGAGGATAACATTCCGAATAATGTAAATAAAAAATGTCTATATTTCTGAGATGAGATATTGTAATTATTTACCCTATTTACATTGTTCGGGCTATTTTTTTCATCTTTTTTGCCTCATTCAAGAGGTTTTGGCTGAAGAAGGACGGAGCGTACAACGTCGTGAATATGGCAACATAGATGAGTACAACAGTCCGAACAATGTAAATAGTGTAAATAATAAAATGGATTCAAAAGATCAATTGATTCGAAGACAATTTAATTTTCCATATTTTCTAATATTTTCCATGCAGAGTTTCCCGCTTCCTGAACATGTCGGAATACCACTTGAGACAACAACAGATCCTGTAACATTTTTACTAGAAATTCATTATGACAATCCTAAAAGAAAATCAGGTAATTTATTTTTTAAAATTTAAAGTAAAATCGTGTGTGTGTGTGTGTGTGTGTGTGTGTGAGAGAGAGAGAGAGAGAGAGAGAGAGAGGGAGAATCGGTAGAAGGAAGCCATTAACCCACATACAATTAATAAACTTCAGGAAGTTGAACTTTTAAATTTTGAAAATATCTTAAAATAATCTACACTTTTTTTCCAAACGGACGTTAGGCAGAAAATAGAATTGAAAAAAATAAATTCGAAAAAAATTGCTACTGAAAATTTTACCACTCGTGTGTTCCTTTTACCAGGCGGGGGTTCGTGGTTATCAGAAGGGGACATGCTCCGTTTTGTGGTCTGCCTTTCGATGGATTTCACAGTACACTAGCCACACTCACTGATGTTCGCCTTCGCCATTTGGTTTACTGCTTGTCGACTACTTAGCATTCTTTAGCAAAATTTCATAATTTCTTTTGAACAAGATTCCACGGCACATTTTCTCGGTTTCTGCCCCAAAATTTATAAAGTTTTGTCGCCATAACATGTTTTATTATTAAGAGGAAAATCTAGAGAATTTTTTAGCATTAAATTATATTTTTCATCCTTTTTAGAATGTTCAAAATTTTCGTTAAAAATTTTGTTTGTCTAGCGTCAGCGGAGAAATCAATGATTAGTACAGGAAATTTTAACATTGATTTTGAAATTTTTGCAAAAATCAAATAATTGTCGGATTACAAATGATCTGTCAGAAATTATTCAGAAATGAATAAAATTGTTTCAAAAATGATTATTTTTTTTAGAAAATCTTGCTAAAAATACATTTTTACTTGTTACACTTATTTAATTTTATGAAGTTTCGAGAAGTAAAAAATGCAATAAAACTAAGACATTATTTAATTACAAAAGCTTTTAATTGATTTTATAAATAAAGTATATATTATCAATACTATTGTCTTAAAAAAACAATTTTCATGAAGTTGATAAGAATTGTTCTCATTTTTTTAAAATGTTAATTAGAATAATTTATAAATTTTTAAATATTTTAAATTCTTGTATTAATTTGTACCAGTTAGATGATAGTGTTACTAAGTAAAAAACATATTTATTAATCTGGAATGAAAAGTTTATTCAGTGACCACAATATTTTGAAAAGAATGTTGAATTGATTTTGTTTTTACAGGTGCCAAATTTTGTAAATACGGACGTCTACACGCAACATTATTAGAAAATAAGGGCGGTAACTGTAGTAAATTTAAAGCCAAATTATCTAAAATTCGATAAGACATTAGTTTACGAAGAATATTTTCATAAATTACAGGATAGTTCAAAGTTATATATAAAATGCGCTCACCTTATTTTCCTCAAGTAATTTTACAAATATGTCCACCGTAGAAAAATTGGATAAGCGTCCATCTTTCAGTTAAGCTGTCAACACCTTAAACAAGCTATATGTTATCAATGCACTGCTGCAATATTTTAAACATAAAGTGTTGTAAAGCCCCCTGGTGGGGTGGTCTTGGGTAACCGTGTCAATTCGATAAGAACGTTTCATTCTTTTCTCACGGCCGGTGATCGCTAATTGTTTCGATACCAGAGATAAAACAACTTTAACGCAATGTATTTTAGACTTAAGTAGTTTATTAACGTCGATGTATATATCTAACTATCCAGGGGGTCGCTCTCTCCTTGCACCATGTAGCAGTTCCTGTCACAAAAGGAAACACATCTACATCGTTCGACGGTTAAGACTCAACTCACTGAAAACCGTTTCTCTGTCTATCGCTTTCACACTCGTTCTGCCAGTCAAAATCAACTTCCTTATTTTGTCATTCATCTGACCTCTAAGGTCAACCTGAAGAAGTCCGAGCAAAGATTCCTCTAAAAAATAATAGCCTGCTAAACTATTATTTAACAAAAATAAATATTTGTTTCAAATTAAATTAGACTTTAAATGAGCTAATATTCTTCAAATAAAGTTTAAGAAAAGTACATTTTATTTTTTAAAATATTTTCTTATAAAGACAATTACATTGTGATAAACAGAAGATGAAAATGGCTCTAATATAAGCGATTGTTTGTCATTTCAAAACAAAACATCCTACGACTCATTTTAAATTAGTTTCCAAATGCAGTATTTTGCTTATTGGAAATTTTAAATTATTGTTTGTTTTTCCTTGTATTAATGCTGTTATTCAGAATGATATAAGATTCATAACAAGATGTTTCATGAGGTGCCTTTCCCTCTTTCTATAAGTATTTCATTCATTCTGTTTTTTCTTTGTTATTAGGTGTGATTGATTCGTCTGGATTCGAAATGATTCTGATACCAGCCCGAAGAAAATTTGATGGCGCAATTATTGAAATTGGACAAATTCCATTTGACCCTCTCTTTCGTTTCACTCAAATGATTCCACCTTACCAACCAGATTTCAAATCTAACAGTATATGTCTTTCCAGTTGCATTTATGATGTTAGTAAACAAGATTCTTTTCATTCTGACGTTTTGCCTTTGAATAATTTTCTTTTCCAACTTAAGTGTATCGTACTGTTGAGTATTTCATTTTTCTCCTTCCCCCGGTCGATATAAATTAAGGTAAGTGAGGAACATAATCGTTGATGGTGTCTGTCGCTAAAACTTCTTCATCTTTTACTTTTATAACTTCCTTTCTTATTAAATCTTTTGCCTGTAAGATACGTCATGAAACATCAATATAATGACCAGTTTGTTCTTTCCTGTCTGCAGTTTTATTTAGCCTTTTTGTGTTTTTCTGTGTATCGCTCCAATTGTAAATGAATGATGAGTTACGAATAATCTGCGGGAATCCTGAAGAGTTCAGTGATTTACACAGTAAGTAGTGATAAAAGTATTACAAAAAAATTCAAAATGATACAATTAAAAAAATAAAATTTAATTCTAAAACCTCTATCTATATTAAATGAAACGGATTAAATCCGACAAATATTTTAATATATTTTCTGTTTTTATGGATACAACTCTTTTGAATGCTCCGATTAGCAAAGTCCAAATTACGGCTTAAGACCGGAAAGTTCTCTAACGCTGAATGGTTACACAACACGTCAGGCTCTATGAGGGTTTCCATATGGGATACAGTTTCAATTCATGTCGGAGAACTCATATTTCCTACGAAATTTCTCGTTATATTCAGGCCGGTAAATGTAATTAATACTGTTTAATTTAAACAGAGCATCTACTCAAATAATTTGATTCCATAAAATAACGTATGAACCGAAAATATCATATATAATATTTCTGGCCAATATTTATCGAGTTAAACTTGCAGACTATTTATCTGCCTTTTGCATTCTATCCTCACTAAATACTTGAGAAATTTTTTCTTGAGTCATACTAAACTTAGAATTTGAGTCTTTAGTACTGTAGACTGAAAAGTAAGTTCATTCACTAGAATAGTTCAATTGATTGACAGTGAGTGTGCCACTGTTGTGAACCTGTGCCAGGCTAAGTTTAGGAAATAGGTGTGTTGTAAATTATAATTAGTTGAAAGTATTCACTACTATTTCTCAAGTAGTTTCGACTTCAAGGTTAGGATTAGTGGCATCTTCCAGGGCGCCTACGTCGCAATAGGATATAACACAAGGTCGAGGTTTAAAGTGTGTTTAACAGCCGTACAGCGCCAAAAATTCGTAAGCACGCTGGTGCCTTTTCGGGGACGCCTCAGGCAAGGGCAATAAACCCATCCACCTACCGAGGGAGAGGTACTACCTGGCGGGAAATCCCCCTGAGACTTGGGCTAATATTAAAAAAATAACAATCCTAGCAAAACGTTAGGATTAGTGGTATTTACCAGTTCATGCAGCAACCTGGTGCGACACAAGGTCGAGGTTTAAATTGGGTCTAAAGGCCACACCGTGCAAAAATTCCAATGCCTCACTCAGAACTTCCTCTTTAGGGAATGCCTCAGGTCCTGAGCAATAAAACCTAACTCCCCCCTCTCTCTCTCTCTCTCCCTTGAGAGAGAGTGAGAGGTACTACTTAGGAGAAAGCCCCCTCCCTACTACCACCACCACAGCCACTGGAACTCGAGCTCATATTTAAAGAATACCAATCCCAATCAAAGAGTCGTGTAATACTTTTTAGAATATGCTGACAGAGAGAATTAAACACAACTAATTTGTCAAAATAGAATTTGTCTCATACTTCTGTTTAGGATAAAAAGAAGGTTTTCTTTTATTCTTTTCCAACGTTCCTTTATCTTTTCTTCTTCAACGACCGGATTCAGTCATTCTCTTAGAATTTCAATTCGATTCTTCTGATATCCTTTTCATTCTTCGCTTTTTCTGTAATATTCTCAGTTTTCACCTTTTCTACATCACATTCTTTTCTACTTTTTCTTCTGCTTTTTACTCATTTCCTTTCCTTCTTTATTTCCTTTCTGTCATTTACATTACCTTCTTTTTCTCTTATTTAAATCCTTTTTCTTTTTAAATGACTCTCTTTTTTCCCAAAGATTTTCTTAATGGCATCTATTATCTTGTTTAACATTTTCTTTTTTTGTTCTCATTTCTTTCCATTTTTTATTTCGGTGTACGGAAACTCCCTAAATCAATGCGATAGTAATTCGCAAACGAATGTTCCCCAGCGAAATGTCCAGATGAAATTTCGTATATTTTGTGGGAAATTAATATTTTAAAGGATAATAATTGGATACAGTTCACTAGCTAATCTATTCTTCCAAGCTACTTTCATGTATTCTTGTAGAAAATTGTCACATTAACAACAAATACTTGCGGTGAAATTTTCATCCTGTCTGAGAATTTTTTCCTTTTTTTTTTTGCATTTCCACAGGTTTATCCACCGACAACAAGCGAAACCGTCATCATGAAAATATTTGCAGTTTTACTTCATGCGCATCTCTTAGGAAGACAGATTATACTCCACCATTTTCGAAACGGCAAAGAACTTCCAAACATTGCAGCTGATCGGAATTACGATTTCAATTATCAGGAAATGGTATTCTTAAAGAAGGAAGTCCAAGTATTGCGAGTAAGATATTTGCAGCATTTTCATTTTATATTAGGTTTTGAATCGCATGCCATTATTTTGCGTTTACTTCTTTGAAATGAAATATTCTTTTCGAATGGTGATTGCAAAAGATTTTTTTCGAGTCCTGGGGCACATCCCATTAGAAGAATCTTAGTTTTTATCTTCCTTTGTCTAACATGCGTGCGCACCAATATTCTTGTAATGCTTTTGCTATGGAAGAGATTCAGCAAAATTATTTGGTAGCGAAATGCAGACAGTTTCAATCAATTTTCTTCTCTTTTTTTTCAGGGTGATGATCTGAAAGTGGAATGTACTTATAATTCAATGGCAAGAAGCAAATTTACATGGGTAAGTAAAATACTTGATTGTTATTTCGCACAAATGTTGAATTGAAGTTAAAGACAGAGGCAGACAGAGAGTTATTTCCTGAGATTTTTTTGATTTATAAGAGACAAATCTCATAAATGCGGAAGGTAGTGATGCCTCATTGTTTCAAGTTAGAAATTTCTGCTTGCACTAAAAGTTATCTTTCTAAATCCTGGCTTTTATTTCTATTTGAACACTGATTAAAGGCACCAGCGAGAAGTAGGTCACTGTTTCAGTGAACAAACACGTCGTCCTCATTTATGCTAACTCATTTATAATTAAACACATAGGCACTTGCGTATAAAACTTAAAGTATCTATTACAGAAATCATCTGGCCGATAAGTGTTAGTATCAAGTGTTCGTTTTAGATGCATGATTATTTAGGACTTACTCCAGAAAAAAATAGTATCTCATTTGAGTTCCACATGTGGATCGATAGAGAGCCATATTGTTTTTCTTGTAGTTTCCATGTCCCTTCAGGTCATAGACACTCATGGCCCTACACACATTTCTAGACCTTGTAGCTTTTAGTGACGTCACTTTTTTGATATACTTCCCCCACTCATGTTCCATCCTCCATTCATACAAGCTCATTCGCTGTCGCTTTTTCATTCGATATGCCCTGTGAGTGTCAAATTCTCTAAACCTCCTTCCTCATTATATGTACGAGCAATTTTAACCGTCTCTTTCTGATTCTGATTACAAGTTTCCATTTTGATTTCATTATTATTAAGAAACATTTATCCCTTACGCTCTGTCTGTCATATTTTCGCACCTTTCTATAGAAGCACATTTTTATTGTCTGTAAGGAAAATGTCCAGAATTCAGGCGGATTAATATTACATAATAGTTCAGTATTCTTTTTCCATTTTGTTTTTTAAGGGAATTTTCGAATTTCGTAATACTTTAATTCTGGAATTTCCATTTTGCCCTTCGAATACGCGTTCGGGTTTCGATGTCGTATTTTGTATTCTCTAATTCTTTCCACGTTAAGATATATTCGCTAAATAAGTGTAAAATGAATTTGATCCTCACAGAAACATATTACTTTTATCATCTGCCAGACCTTCTCATGGATCTATGTTTAAGATGTTTGATATTCTGTCAATGTAGTTCCTTTCCCAATAAGATACATTTGAAGTACGAATTTGTTGGCAATGCAAGAAAAAACAGTTACATTTTGAAGAGTGCCTACGCTAAAAGCACGCTTGTACACGGTTTCCGTTCGATCATCGAAGTTAAGCACTGTCGAGCCCGGTCAGTACTTAAATGGGGGACTGCTTAGGAAGACCGGGTATTTTAAGTAACCTAATACAATCCGAAAAAAGTCACGGTTTTAAATAACCTACAAAATGTTAAGCCATAACAAACAAATCATTCAAGAAATGTCGACTTTATGATCTAACTTCGTATTTGTTAAGGGGTCCACCCCTTTTTGATACAAGTGGACTCGCCCACTGTGTACTTGACTTGTATTGCTGCTGGTGAATACCCGTGAGTCAGACAGACAGAGAGTGATACGGTGAGAGGGTGAGAGTGTGAGGTAACCGCTTTGTAGGAGTCACAGTTGTGAGCACGTAGACTCAGAAGGAAGTCCTACTTCGATACTGAATTTTCCAGTATATATATATATATATATATATATATATATATATATATTATTGCTACTAACCGCATTTCTGGATCTACTCACAGTATTACCAATTGTATTATTACGTCAATACATTTAATTGCTATATTTCATTCCTGTGTTTGTCATTCATTTTGAGACCGGATTTCATCCCGGAATCCACAACAGTATTACTAACCTCTTTATAAATCATTAAGAATATTTAATTAAAATGATCTCTTTAGAATGAATAGAGTTTTATTCTGGGAATAAAAACTGAAATAAATTGAATCAACAATATCAGAAAAAGTTAATGGTTTCAAGCTAATAAGAGTTACGATTCTAAATTATACAAGTGAATATAATTTCCAACCTACTGAAGTCGACTGAATAATAAGGAACGTCATTTTTATCATATTTTATTATTTATTGCATTTTTATGAATTCGAAGTTCACTGAATATATTGTTTCTCATTTGTATCATTGAAGGGTGGCTTGTCGACGTCTGATGAGATGTGCCTTGCATATGTCATGTACTATCCTAAAATGAGGACTACAAACTGCCTAAGTGCCATTGGAGTAGTTGATACCAAATGGAGAGAATATAGTTTAAATACGTAAGTTACTCAATTTAATGTTTATAAATTATTCTGGGATAAATAAGCTAAAATCAGTTCATCACAAACTTGAAAATCATTTTAGTCAAGCATTTATTACACTTTCCCAAATTCTTTATAACAGAAGTAAAATGTTGTCCATGTCACTATTAGTGTATTATTACCTGTCAGTTGACTATTTGAGAAATTTTATATCGATTATTCTCTTCCTTTTTAATGATTTTATAGGTTGATACAATCTTACTTCTCTATAAACTCTTAGAACTCAACGAGTACATTGTATTTATCAGATTACGATCTTGAATTGGATATGTATTTTTCCCCACCATTCATAGATTAAACTTTCTTTCTAGATTTCAATTTAACCCTTTTTTATTATTCTGCATTCTATCAATGAAGCTTCATGCTATCTTTACGTTCCAGATGTATTTTAACAACATGATGTTAAACTTGCATAGTTTACATTTAAATGATAACAAATGATTTGCCTATCTCACCTTAAATTTCTTCCAGTCACTCTGATTCAAATTCTGTCTCCTCGATTCTCCTCAATTAAAATTTTTGCCTGGCCCAATACATTATTCTCTCTGAAATGTCACTGCATTGGGAATGTACAGTTTTATTTCTTTTGCGTTTTTACTTTTTTGTTATTTAGTCCTCAATACGCTAAGTAGAGCGATAAACTAAAATAATCTTAAGGAGTCAGGCAAACCTACTGTTATGGGAACTTACCCATGATAATAATGGACTATTCCTGACATTATAAATACTGCGTCTCTCAAGAGGTATGAGGATGTTGTAAGACGAGGAGAGATAATTGAGTGTATATTGTAAGGATATTGGAATAGTGATACTTGTCGAGACAACATAGTTCACTCTAACCAAATCTGATAGTCATTACTAATACTTCTACTTCTTTGTATTATATTTCTGTTGTAATATATCTTTGTATTCCATACCTGTGTTCGTGTTATTCTTTCATTGGTTCTAACCTTGGACCATCAACGTGGTACAAGAAACTTGGACCATAAAACCTACCTAGGTTTCACCTAAACGGATCTTCGGGTTAAAGCTGGTTATATATATATATATATATATATATATATATATATATATATATACATGTATGCGGAACGAGAAAGAGAAAGTATTTTGTGTATATTCCATGGGCATTGATACGCGATAGATTTTCCCTTAATCTTTGTTGTATGCTCGGGTTTACAGTGTCGATATATTTTTAAATCCAGGGGGACTATCTCATTGCATATTCGATGCAGTTTTCTTCCACTTTCCGAAAGTAGAAGATTCTTATTCAGCCTTTCGTAACTGAATTATTTTATTTGGTTGGGGACCTATCAGAGCCGTATCATTTCACTCCTGTTCTTCCCTCGGGGCCTCACTGCCAATTCCATTATCTGCACTCTGATACTCTTGTAGTATCCCGTCTGAGAGGTCGTCAAGAGAGAGACCAAACAGAAACCCCAGTTTACCAGGGATTCGTTGAAGGCCGCCACCGTGAAAGTTATGACCGAAATTAACAAGGACCAATTGATTCATATACAAGGCTGATTCCTTTTAAGCGTACAAATATAAAAATTATACTGAATGTTTTACTTGAATACCTTTACTTTTCTTTATAATTTGTTTTCAATTATGTGGCGCACAACATATACATTTGCTCTCTCACATGCACTATAATTCTTTCTCTTCCAAGAAAGAAAAGCATGAGTTTATATGTGTTAAGTTTTAATGCCATTTGTTCCTTGGGATATGCTGCCATGAATAGTACTTCTCTTTCTAGTTTTAGATTTCCATAGTATTCGAAATTTCTTTGTCTTTTATAGTAATGCTGACGAAAATTGATTTTACAGTTCGAACTTGCTGCAATTCAAGAATCAAGAAATTGCCAAGAAATTTGAACAAACTGTCAATGGCTTGGGAAATAATTCTTCTTTGTTAACATATTGTTCGGACGGAATAAACGTAAGTTTTACAATAAATCGAAATTATATGAGAATTTTGTTAACATTCTTTTCGAACCAGATAAATGCCTGTTTCTTAATTTTAAGTGAATTCAAATGATTAAATATCAGACGAATAAGAATTTTTCTGTCAACAACATTTAGCGTCAGTTAGAAACCGTGAAACATTTCCGTATTTATCGTTATGATTTTATTAGTATATATTCATTTTCACTCTTCGTAAATGGAACTGTCAATCATTTGTAACTTTCAGTGTTTCAAGTCTATTTGAAAACAAAAAAAAAGTTATCAATTTTGGGGTTAGTTTGCTTCCATTTACTTCAAGTAGTTTGGAACTGGAATAAAGAATAAAATTTGATTCACATCCGTTTTACTGTAAGTTGCTCAATGAATTCACTCAACATGACACTCCCATTATTTCGACTGCCACTAGATAGTAAGTAGTATCGGCATTAATTAACTAACGCATTTCACGGCATATAAGACGCCCTTTTTTTTTTTTACTAAAAATATATTCATCTTGTATGCCATATGTAGGTTTAAAATTCGCGATAGTCGCGCCGAAATTAGTTACCCGGTAACTCCTATTAGCTTAGATTTTAGAGTAACTTTTATATATCTATTGTCATTATTTAAAACGCTATTATGCAGATTAAAAGGTGTTATCATTGATAATATTTATTATATTAATTCCATCATGTTTAATATTAGTACTTTGTTTCACTAAAATTATATGCAATAAATTCAAATTATATATTTGTAAAATATATTTGTTTCATTAATATTTTTGCAATAACTTCCTGTTGCATTAGTATAGATACTATCAGAATTTTTATATCCTAATTATTCCAATAAGACGTTTACGAGACGCAGTTTATACAGATCATATAAAAGAAAATTTTTGACTAAATTTTAATAGTAAGTGTTGTGTTTTACTCAGTTGTAATTATTGCTGGATTTTTATTTTATTTTCTTGCCTTTGGGTATAATAAAGTTTTATAGGCTCGTCTTCTTTTTTCCGCATGATTTTTCGTTTAATTGTAATCATGGCTTGTTTAACCAAAATAATACCTCATAAATATATCCTAGACTGTACCATTTACTAATAATTTTACTAATTATCATTTTTTTTTTATTTGCCCTGATGAAATTAGGGTGCATTTTATACACTAGTGCCTCTTATATGCCGTCAAATACGTTGGACATTATTGGAGTTGTTGGCATTAGGTTAAGTCAGCCGTTGTTTGCAAATACCAACTTTGAAAATATAATAACATCATTGATATCTGTATATATATATATATATATATTTTTTAAATTTTAAATTTTTTTAAAAACTATTTTCGTGTGAAGTCTTTAGGTCGCACATTTATATGAAGTTAATAAAAGATGAGGTAGGCACAATTAATACTTAATAAACATGAGATGCAGTTTATATATATGAAACAGATTATGACTGTGTGGCTGCGTGTCTTACTTTTCACTCGAGATCCATTCAACGATTTTGAACAAACTTAGCACATACATTGTACAACGTAAGAGATAGCCTCGTAGCGTAAAAATAGATACTCTTGAAAATCAATAATCGATAATGCTGATAAAAATTCAGTAAAGTCAAACTTTTCCTCCGATTTCGTTCAAACTCGGTATGTAGGTTACTTACATCATGATGAGATCGACGATACCTCATTTTTATTGCTACACCACTACGTTTAGCGAAAAACCATGAAAAACGAAAAATCGATTTCAACACAAATTTTAAGCTGAAAACTCCCTCAATTTTCAAACAATCTAATACAAACTACACTCATTTGTAGTCAACAATAAGTTGATTGTTTAACAGTGTGACGGTTACACACCTGGCCCAGTGTCGGATCCTTTGGTTACGGCGCCAACGGTGACGTCGCTCCTCCTGGTCGCTCCTCCTGGGTCCAAGCGTGCCGCTCCAACCCTTTGGTCAGATGATCACCAGCCTCGCCTTACTCGACTCGCTTCCAATACCTGGTTACTAAAAACAACTATACCGGTCCCCGGTCTGTCTACCCACGCTGTGTTTTAGATCTTAGACAGACGGGACCAGCAGGGATCGGGGCCGATACAAGTTGAGTCCGACGGGGTGGCAAAACACAAATAAAATAAAAACTCACGACACCAAACAAAATTGCTGATAAAAGGGTAACAACCTTTTATATCTTAAAGTCCGTTACATAAAAACAAAAGTGTTCTCATTTCCCGACCCGCTCTGTGGACTATGGCACCAAGCTTCTATCACACAATAGAAAAATGTCGAATTACCTACTTTCTAGAATCATGTATGTATGTCGGAGTGTGGTTCAGTTCGACACTGGTGCTAATTTCTATCGATCATTCGCAGTTGATTCTTCTCTCCGACTTGAGTTGTATTTCTTCTTCTTCGTCTGCTTGGGCTGGTAGTTTTCCTGTTTCAACTTGGTGGAAGATTTCTTGTTTCAACTTAGCCGCAACTCTCTGTCGTCTGAGGTGGTCTCTTCTCACTGCCGTCCGGAGCTGAACTTTAACTTCTCATCGACTTTCGGCTTGTCTGCAGCTCCAATTCTTCTCAGGCTTTCAGGCAATCTTCTTCTTCATCTACTTGGGCTGGAAGTTCTCCTGTCTTCGACTTGGGCTGGAAGTTCTTCTTGTCTGAGAGTTCTTTTCTCGCTGCCGTCCGGGGATGAACTTTAACTTCTCATCGACTTTCGGCTTGTCTGCATCTCCAATTCTTCTCAGGCTTTCAGGCAATCTTCTTCTTCGTCTACTTGGGCTGGAAGTTCTCCTGTCTTCGACTTGGGCTGGAAGGATTTCTTGTCTGAGGATTCTTCTGCCCGCAAAGGGGGCGAGTGAATCGGGTCTTATGTCCGCGTTCAGGATCTTCCCCTGCCCGCGGTCCTGCTGCAACTCAGCCCAACTCCGGCTGCATCTCCAACTCAAACTCAACTTCAGCTCCAACTTTTCTCAGGTTTTCAGGCAATCTTCTTCTTCATCTACTTGGGCTGGAAGTTCTTCTGTCTTCGACTTGGGCTGGAAGTCCTTCTGTCTGAGGGTTCTTTTTGCCCGCAATGGGGCGAGTGAATCGGGTCTTATGTCCGCGTTCAGGATCTTCCCCTGCCCGCGGTCCTGCTGCAACTCAGCCCAACTCCGGCTGCATCTCCAACTCAAACTCCTTCTCTTCGGCTTCTGAATTATTGTTCACTCATCTCCGCTGTCAGTGCGCGACTGCAACTTCTCCACTTAGGCCAAACGGACCGGCCTTTCTTGCCCGCAAGGGGGCGAATGAGCCGGGCCCGCAGCCCGCGCTCAAACTCCTTCTTCATCCGAGGCGCAGCTCCAACTGATTTCTGCCGACTGGGGTCCTGCTTATATTGACGCCGCAACAAACCGGGGTGGGTCGGTCGGCGTCAGGGGTTTCTCGATAATTTCAAAAGCCGTATTAATTTTGACTTTCCATTATCGTTATTGTTTTCACCCCTACTTTCTCACAGTGCTCTTGGGTGGGCGGCGCATATCTATTTCTCTTAGTCTCTCTCATGTCAGGTGATCGCTCTCAACCAATCGTTCCCGATCGAACCTCTTTTTCTTCTTTTCGCAGCCCACGTGACCGCCTCGTCCAACAGTTATTGATCGAGGTTTTCTTTCCTTCTTCTTCCGCGGTCACGTGATTGTATTCGACCAATTGTTATTGACCGAACACCCTCTCCCTTTTGTTGGCGGGTGTGGTTACATCGTGCTGGTTTTAAAAAAAACAAAATCCGATTTCGCACCTTTTTGCACGTACGCAAAATGACAATCCTTGCCCTCTCTCACCTGGACTTTGTCAAACAGCCCTCTGCTAATTAGTCTTGACTTTAGAAAAGGTTCTTTTCCGCCTTCTTGGCGCCCTCTGTGGTCCAAAAACAATTGCTCTTCTTTTTTACTTCTTTGTTTTACCTGATAGTCGAAAATCTTAATTATCTAGGTCGAAATATCTCTACTTTCTTAACGTGGGTGTCCAATTCTTAACAGGTCAATTCCGTATATCGTTTTCACCAGTCACTTCCCCAACCCAAAGACACTTTCTCTCTGACTAAAGTAAAATTCATTTCTATCATTCTAATTTAAAAGTTACCTTTCGTTATTTTGATAAGAATTCTTCTACGAAAATGTCGGTCAGCGCTCGCGACCGATACCTCCAATTCTATTCTTTCAACAAAAATTAAGGTCAGTCAGAGGCTCTGACCGACATCTGGTCCACACCCAGCGGCCTGTTTTGATATCATGTCTTTTCCTTTCTTTCCCTTTTATTATTTCCAATTCTATTCTTCCCTTTGTTTTAAAAAAAAAATAAAGTCGACCACACGCAGACCTATCTCTACCATCAACTGGGTCATGCGTCATACATTTCTCTTTCTTTCTTTTTCTTCCCTTCCTTCCTTTTTTTCTTTTCTTTCCTTCTTCTTTCCTTAGGATCGTCTAGTACATTCTTAGTGAATTATTTTCAACTCAGTTATTTTCCGTTTTTAAAAAAAAATTAACAACCTGTTTAATAAACTGAATAAGAAAAAAATTAACTCATATTTCTATGAATATTTCCAATAAATGCAAGGTGCCATAATCCTCCCCTAACCGATTTGTCATTTACCCGTAAATGACACCTAAACCCAATTACATCATTTAACATGCACCATGCATTTGTCTCATGCAATTCTATTCTACTTTCTAACATGCAAGGGTAATGTTCTTTCCATTTTCTTTTGTTCTACATGCAATGAAATGTTCTTTTCATTTTCTTTTCTTCTACATGCAATGAAATGTTCTTTTCATTTTCTTCTGTTCTACATGCAATGAAATGTTCTTTTTTCATTTTCTTTTGTTCTACATGCAATGTAATGTTCTTTTCATTTTCTTTTGTTCTACATGTAATGAAATGTTCTTTTCATTTTCTTTTTGTTCTACATGCAATGAAATGTGTGCGTGTGTCTGTAGGTGCAGATGTGTTCTTTAGGG